TGTGGGGGGGGGGGGGGGGGTGTTCTGGTTTTGTCTTTCATCTCGGTCTTGCTGTTCTAGCGTTCCGGTCATTCATTATATGAACAAGGAGGAACTTGTCGAGCCTTTAGCGAAATCTCAAGATCAAGAGGACTGCATAAGATCTGTCGTGAAAAAAGTTAAAGAAGTTCATTCCATTAAGTGGAAGAAAGTGGGAAGCGAGAAGCAATTCAGGTTTAACCATTCTGTGGAAGCCAGATTTGATTCAGCCATCTTCGCCATTGAGAAAAGGAAGCTGGATAAGGCAAAAAAAGAGCTAGAAGAGGGTAAGAAGCTTTTGTCTGAACGTCAAAAATTGATTAAGCTGGCCGATCGATCCGAGTGTGGTTGGACCACGGTTTCATGATCAACTTACGTTACTGACGACTTGGAGGATACTCCCGAGGACGAACGTCGTATTTCTTAAGCTGAAAAATCGGCAAACAAGGCCCTTGACTCTAAAAGGAAGAAATCGCTGGTTAAATCGGGTTCTGCTAATTACAAATTTAATCATGCTTCTTTTTGTCATGTTTCTAATTCACGCCTCAGCGCTGACGACGCTGGCTGTCAAGTCCTTTCGACAGCCCTTTCAGTTTCGAGAAGCCGCATTTCTACTCAGATCTCAGTTCAGGAGAGGAACCTGCTTCGCTTGTGGATCGGAAATGCATCGGATAAACAGCTGCCCCAATCTCATTTCTTCAGGAAGATCAGATAAGCCAACCAAGTGATGCCTTTGATTTTGAAAATTCTTCAGATTCTTGTTTGTTTAATGTTGGCTCCGTTAGGGATCACGTTGATTTTTGATTTTTTGATTGTTGATTTTCGCGCCTCCGACTTTATCAGTAACACTATTGTTGAAGGCTAAAGAATTCCTTTCTTTGATTTGCCTGAGAATTTTGTTATTCCCAATAGATCTTCGGCGTTCAAGTTTAAAGATTTTGTTAACGAGGCCATTTCAGAGTTAATTGGTGTGGTTGATTTAAAGAAGTTCTCAATCCACCCAAGTTTATCAATCCTCTGCACGTGGTGCAGCAGTCCAGTGGGAAATGCAGGCTTATTTTGAATCTTTCGTATTTACATAGATTTATTTTGAAGCAGTCTGTTTGGTTCGAAGATATTTGTACTTTGTTTGATTTGTTTCAGTCAGGCTATTTTTTCTTCACCTTTGATCTCAAATCTGGCTACCACCACGTCGAAATTTTTCCAGATCATCACCAGTATCTGGGTTTTTCTTGGAATTTTGGTTCGATTGTTAAGCACTTCGTTTTTACTGTTTTGCCTTTTGGAATGTCCTCGGCTCCGCAAATTTTCAGTAAATTAATGCGTTGACTCGTTTATTACTGGCGCGGTCTTGGGCGTCGTGTTGTTACTTTTTTGGACGACGGTATTGGCGGGAGCCCACATTACGCTAGTTGCCTGGTCCATAGTCGTTTATGTCGTTCTGATTTGGACTCTGCGTGTTTCTTTGTGAACCTTTAAAAATCAGTGTGGGAGCCGTCCCAAGTCGGTACCTGGCTTGGTTTCCATCTAGCTTTCAGTCTTAATTTCATCACCGTTCCTCTTCCGAGGATTACGAAGTTGCCGGGGAGTGTTTCGCGTATTCTTGCTCAGCGTTTTGTTAACGCTAAGGATCTAGCTAGCGTTGCTGGTCAGTTGAACTCTATGTTTTTGCTGTTGGAAACATCGCACGTTTAATGTCTCGTGCCATGTACGCCCAGATTTCAACTCAGAATTCCTGGTTTCCTAGTTTTTATCTAGGAGATTCAGTAGTGGAGGAATTAGTTTTTTGGCAATCCAGTTTAGATCATCTCAATGGCCGTCGTATTTGGTTTAAATCCAGTGCAGTCAGGGTTGCATATTCGGATGCTAGTGACACCAGATATGGCGGTTACATTGTTGAACTTGGGGCCCAGGTGGCCACAAAAGGTGTTTCGTCGACTGATTTAGCAAAGGAAAGTTCCATTATAATATCATAATGCGTGAGATTTTGGCCGTCAAAAACGTTTTGCAATCTTTTGCGCCTAAGATTGCAGTATTATGTGTCAAATGGCACACGGACAACCAAAATGTTGCGCGTATTATTGAGTCTGGTTTGCAAAGCGAAGCTAAGTGATTTTTGACATTTCCTTTCATCATGGCATTTCTATTGAGCCTGAATGGGTGCCCAGATCCAGAAATGAGCAAGCAGATTATTTAAGCCGTATTGTTGATTTTGATGACTGGTCTGTTAGTCCTCACATTTTTCGCTTTTTAGACTTGAAATGAGGGCTTCACTCTATTGATCGTTTTGCTGACTAGCATAACCATTTATTACCTAGATTTGATTCAAGGTTTCGGAATCCTTACTGTGAAGCTATGGACACTTTTACCAGGTCGTGGGACTTCGGCAACAATTGGGTTTGTCCACCAATGCACCTTGTACCACGGACTCTGAAGCACATGAGGTCTCGCTGCCCACAAGGTACTTTGATCGTTCCGCTTTGGCGTTCTGCTCCATTTTAGCCTTCACTTACAACGGACGGTTCTCATCTGGCTCATTTTGTTCAAGATTGGGTGGACCTGCCCCCCTTGAAGACGACTTTTTGCATGGGTCGCCACAGCTCTGGTGTTTTTGGCAGAGAGAATCTCTAATTTTAGGGTTTTGGCTGTTCGTATTAATTTCAGATCTTTGCGATTTTTTATTACTGGTTTTTGCACTAGCGATCAAGGTTGGTACCCTCGGTGTTCATATGCTTAGTTTGATAAGTGTTTTATTTTTTGGGACCTTTATAACTTTCTAGTGAGTTTTTTTTCAGTGTGTGGATGGCATCGGGTAGTCTGAGGTCAGTGGGTGGCATTCAGGTAGCCAGTGGGTGGCTTATGCAGATTCTTTTAGTATTATGTGTTTTAGCCAATGGTGATTTACACAGATTCTATTGGCGTTATTTGTTCTTCGTTATAGCCAGTGGTTGGCTTACGTCGATTCTATTGGCATTATTTGTTATAGCCAGTGGGTGGCTTACGCAGATCCTATTGACATTATTTGCTCTAGCCAGTGGGTGGCTTGCGCAGTTTCATTTAGTTTTTATTAGTTTTACTTGTTCTGCCAATGGGTGGCCTATGTGTAGCCAGTGGATGGTACACGCAGTTTCTTTTGTTCTAATTTTTTCCGTTCTCGACAGCTCGGTTTGGGCAGCGCTTGGCTTGAAGCGAACTGCATCCAGTGGTTGTATGTGTTTTCTTGTTGGGTCAAACTGAGATTTAGAGGAAAGTAGTATTTTCCTGCGTTTGACTTGGTAATTAGCAGGAAAATATGCTCTCATCGGTATGTTATGTTGGTTTAGGCATGTGCGCTGGTATGTGGGTAATTAGTGGGGGTATATATTTGGGCGTAATGGTTTTGTCTTTCATCTCGGTCTTGCTGTTCCAGCGTTAAGGTCATTTTTGTTTGTTTTTGACTTTTTATTGTGTGTGTGTGTGTGTGCGTGTGTGTGTGTGTGTGTGTGTGTGTGTGTGTGTGTGTGTGTGTGTTCTTTCTGCTTTTATTTTGAAGTTGTTTTCAGCTCTACTATTTGGTCGGATCTTCGGGCTGCGGTTCCCCAGGGGTCTGGTGTTTTACAATCCCTTGCAAGTTCTCTTCCGGATGTTGCGTTGGCTAGCAGAGCACCCAGTACTTCCTCCAAGTATTTTTCTTCTTAGAACAGATGGAGGTGTTAGGCACTAGAACATGGCTTGACAGTTTTTCCTGCCTCTCCGTTTCACTTTGCTTTTTATTTGCGTCATTTAGTGACTGAGGCGAAAACAGCATCTCCCCCGGAGTCAGCAGCTCATAACATTGCCTGGTTTCACCAGTTGGGTGGCAAGCCGTCTCCTTCTGTGATCATCCGTTGTTGAATAGCATTCTTGCCGGTGCGCAGCGTTTGCTGGCGCATCAAACAACCAAGAAGGAGTTCATCACAGTCTCTCAGTTAGAGCAGTTAGTTGCCTGCAAGGCGGACTCAATGGCCTCTTTGTATAATATTCGTTCGGTTGTTATTTGCTCGCTAGCTTTTGCTGCCTTTCTCAGATTTGATGAGCTTTCTAAGCTTTTTCGATCCGATGTTAAGATCGAAAATGACATGTTAAAGTTATTTATTCAATCTAGTAAAACTGATCAGTATATAAGGGATGGAGCTTGGACTGTTGTAGCTTCTTCTGGGAAAGCAACTTGTCCAGTTGCTATGGTGAACCGTTATTTAGAAAGAGCTGGGCTTTCCTGCGATAGCCCTTTGTTTTGCCAGCTTTCCAAAACTAAATGTGGTTATAAGCCTAGATCTAAAGGTTTAAGCAATTCACGCTTAAGACAATTAGTGCTAGAGGCTTTTAAAGATATTGTACGTGATATTTATTTCTGCCATTGGTACGCATAGCCTTAGGGGTGGCGGGGCTACTGCTGCCGCAAATGCTGGCGTACAAGACCGACTTTTTACGCGTCATGGCCGCTGGGCTAGTGAACTGGCTAAGGTGTGTCCAAGATTCTTTATCTTAACGTTTGTCGGTTTCCTAAGCTTTAGGTATTTAGTTTTCTCGTTCTTACCGGTTTTTAATTTATTCTAGTTTCTATTTAGTTGGTCTGCCCGTGGGACCGTTGTTTATGGGGTACAGCTGGCCTGGGGTTTTCCTCCTTGGTGCAAGTGGACGTGCGGGGAGGTTTTTCACCCAGATGTGGTTTCACGAACCTATTTCAGTTAGCTTGTGATTTAGTTCTTTGGAGCTCAATTTTACTTGGATTGTATATTACTTTTCTATGATATGTCATGTGTCTTTTGGTCTTTTCGGAGAATAAACCGAGCGCTTGGCTTGAAGCGAGCCACACCCAGTGGTTGTGTGTGTTTTCTTGTTGGGTCAAACTGAGATTTAGAGAAGAGCTTTGGTGATCAATAGTTTGTCTATTGATGTAATGCTAGTACGGATTTGGTCTATGCTTTGAAAATTTAAGTCAGAAAAAGTGTGTTGTGCTCTATGAAAGTGTATATACATCACTTGAGTGTATTATATATCATTTGAGCAAGTATAATTTTTTGGATATTCAGCTACAACCCCAACATATCGTGCACTATATTGTAGTTTGCTCTTGCACCCAAACTTTTAACCTGTGTTTTTGCTGTTTTAAAGATAATAAGTTCCATGGCTATCAAACTGGAAGTATTCAGTTTAGTATGTGACGTCCTATCTAGATTTAGACCTCTATGCCTCTGCCAAATTTTGTGTTTTTAACACTAATTTCAACAATTGTGCACGTTTTCGGCACCATTTTCCTGTACTATAAAAATTGGGTGGCGAAATACCAAACAGTAGATATCAATACGGTGTTTTTGTTACTGTATCACTGTTCCTCGCATGAGTCTCATTTTTGTTAAATTAATAATAAAGCAAAACAGGTCATGTGACACTTTATATCTGTTAATATGTTAATTACTAAAGTAACATTTCTTTGTAAGGAACATAACAATTACACATGATTTGGACTTTGAGGTTTCTTGTGACGTCACGTGTCACGTGATCACGTCAGTTAATACCCTAAGCAATTTTCAGAAAATTTTCATTAAGTTTGATAATAAATCAAAATACATGGTTGTGCAAGAAAAAAACAAAACAGTCTTATCATGCCGTAAAATACTTGAGGAAGAGAATGTTATCCACCTAAATAGTAGAGGGAAGGTCGATGTAGATGATAGTTTCCGTGATCAGCATATATAACATATATGTTCGTAACCCATAGTAGAAGAGACTGGTTAGGAAAGCCGGCAAACTTCAAAGTTGAAAACAACGGTGCTATAGTTTATGTTGGAAGCTCCCTTACCGTACACAATCCTTTGTTTTTTGTTCACAAATTGTGACTGAATAAATTAAATATAATGCGATGTTTCTATTGGTCAGTAAGTTCAAAATGATAGGAATGTTATTGAACCTTGTTTACGGTCAGGTCCACCAAAGCTACCAAAAACATATAACAAAAGAGTCTAACGGGTTTCATAACTATCCTATTTTAATAACTATGGTAAACCTGAAGAAGGCTGGTGTGGCCAGCCGAAATATTGTTATAAAAAAGCAGGATCGTCGTCCACAGATTTGCAGTTATTTTCTTTACCATCAGCGTACATAATTCTTCACATCGTGCAAAAGCCGAATACAATAAAAGTGCTGAGAAATAGTTTGTGGGTATTAGTCGCGATCTCATAACTGGCGACCGCTTCCGTTTGCTATCTAATTTAGCTCCACACGCGCGCGAAGCGAACGGAGCCCAATAGCTAAGAATAGTTGAAAGTTGGTTATCTATTCTGGTAGTCAAGTGAGAGTACATCCGCCTGTCCGTCCGCACCACAGGGGAACTGATCCGCTATCCGTATAATAGGATCGTATCGAGGGGTCAGGAGTCGAACCATCGAAGTTAGGTGTTTTTTTTCTTCTGACTTTCTCCGCTGACAAGTTACTAGGTTTCAACTGATCGCAGGTTCAACTCCAAGTGGGTCTCCTTGCAAATGGTTACAAGTTTATTGTATGAAGAAAATTATTTATTTATCAACGGGAGCTCTCCCCTCTAGCCTAAGCTAAATCTATATTACCTATGTTTGTTTTTTACACTCTAACCTCAGATTGAGCAATTTGTAAACAAAAAAATGAGTCTAAACATCGATCTGTATTAGATAAGTTATTCAGTCATCCTTTCAGTCATTCATTCATTTAAAAGTGATCCTTCATTCAGGTAGACTGTGACAATGATTTATGTAAGGAAAGAATGCTTGAGGGCAACTTCCATGGCGAAAAAAATATGCCCCGACAGATAACTCTGACTAAGTTTTAGGCATCGGGGTATAAATCCGCAACAACATTATTATAAATCGGCAACAAACATCAGCTAAAGACTGTGAGAGAAAATTAGTCGGAAGTGATTTCTCTTACCATTTTTGAGAATTTTGAACCCTGTGAAACTGAACGGTTTGAGATAACTCGATCTCTCCATTGACGTTTAGATATGTAGTGTTTAGATGATTGTGTAACAAACTATATTTTGCTAGAAATAATGACCTTAAGTGTCGACCTGAAATCTTTCAATCTCAATGAGTAAATAACAGGGTTAAGAAGAGAGTTTGAGTAATGCAAAAGTTTGCAGAAGTAAATAACGTTGGTTGAAGGTTGAGCTGAGCAAGGGAAAGCCTTGCATTCTAAAAACACAATCAGGTTAATGATGTGAAAGGGGAGCCAAGTTAAAATAAAAACAGTTGTCACTATAAATACTGTCACGGCGAGTTTTCTGTCATTTTCCGCAGCTCGTCTGCTTCGTTCCTTGTCATACTGGCTTGTAAAAGAAGTTCGCTGTTTGTCCGAGCTGGAGTCTGAATATTCTAAGCTTGCTTCTCTAGTAGAAATGATAGGTCCGCTTGCCTTTATCCAGATAGCTAAGTAAGCTAAAAGCATTACCAGCATAGATGAGAAAAAGGTAAGGATCAAAAACCAAAAGAAGATTTTATGTTGAATCAAACGGTATACATGGAAAAAGTACAAGCTGGATAGTAAACCAGCGAGGATCCACACTGTAGAAATAGATAGATCGTAAAGTCTTCGAGTCGAAGTTCGATGACGAAGAGGTAGACAAATGGCGTAAACTCTCTCCAGGGCAATTATTGTAAGAGTAAAAGTAGAGGCCAAGCCGCATAATACATCCACGGTTTTTACTATATTTAAAATTATCGATGGGGCGAAAAGGCGCTCCTGCCAAAAACGAACCAATTGGTAAATAAAACTTGGAACGGAAAAAATTCCAACTGTCATATCAGCAACAGCCAAAGAGATGAGGAAATAGCTGGTACGTTTGCGCAGTAGTTTCTTTCTTGTAAGTACCGCAATGGCCACAGCGTTGCCGATAATTATTGCTAATGCTATCAAGCCAAAAACTATGCACCAGGCTACCAAAGATGTAAGTGGTGAGCGGGCTCCTTGCGAGGTTTCGTTCATTTCTGCTTCCAATATATATCTGAAACAAGAAATTTAAAAGAAATATCTATTTAGTCTGTGTAAAATAACACCCGGTTTTGTGATATATTTTTCTTGGAATGACAAGGCTGAAAAAAAGGAACTGTTTTGTAATAAGCTAAAGTTTAGCAGCCAGGGAGCGTTCGGTTAATTGTATACCAAACGCAAATAAAAATATACCTTTTTCTTTTTTCGGTAACGTTTTGATGAAAAATAACAAGGTTTCTTTCCAGGAAATTCACCTTGATTTTCTTTGCCTATCCTAAGTACTGCGCACAAGCAGGAAATGAACTCCTGGGAGTCGCGGCTGATAACGCGGCTTGACTTGTAAGGCATTGCTTGTTGACGATAAAAAGAAACAAAAGCAAAAAACAAAGAAATTTAAACGTGTAAAAAGAGTTGAAATTGATTTGTTCGATTTGATATATGGCTTATAGTCCATGAGATGCTAGATTTTATCTTGCTTTGATTCTCAAATGGGTGGAGCTCGCCCGCTCAAGACTTTTTTGGGTCACCTAAAATTAATAATTTCTTTCGAGGATTAAGGAAACCTATGTTCTGATAATTGCGGAAAAAAAAACCAAAGTAAGAATATTTGATAGGAAAAGAAAGTGCATTTTACGTCTGATGCAATCTTCACTAATTGCGAATAAGAAAGTTCGCTGTTTAGTCCGAGTACAATAAAGTCAAGACAGAAAATCTTCAAAATGAAACAAAAAACATAGCAAAACCAATAAAAGAAAACGAAAAAAATCTGAAAAAGCGCTGTCGTGTTTAAAAAGCGAAAGTAAACGGTAAAGCACTGGGGGGTGTTCTGACTTGCTCAAATGTCAATTATTGTTTTATTGTGCTGTTGCTCCACACCTGTTCGTTACGTGTCCTCCTGTGTTCGTGTTCTTTCGATTTCATTACACAGATTAGATCAGTCTACTTGTCCAGTTGCTATGGTGAACCGTTATTTAGAAAGAGCTGGGCTTTCCTGCGATAGCCCTTTGTTTTGCCAGCTTTCCAAAACTAAATGTGGTTATAAGCCTAGATCTAAAGGTTTAAGCAATTCACGGTTAAGACAATTAGTGCTAGAGGCTTTTAAAGCTTTTGTACGTGATATTTATTTCTGTCATTGGTACGCATAGCCTTAGGGGTGGCGGGGCTACTGCTGCCGCAAATGCTGGCGTACAAGACCGACTTTTTACGCGTCATGGCCGCTGGGCTAGTGAACTCGCTAAGGTGTGTCCAAGATTCTTTATCTTAACGTTTGTCGGTTTCCTAAGCTTTAGGTATTTAGTTTTCTCGTTCTTACTGGTTTTTAATTTATTCTAGTTTCTATTTAGTTGGTCTGCCCAGGGGACCGTTGTTTATGGGGTACAGCTGGCCTGGGGTTTTCCTCCTTGGTGCAAGTGGACGTGCGGGGAGGTTTTTCTCCCAGATGTTGTTTCACGAACCTATTTCAGTTACCTTGTGATTTAGTTCTTTGGAGCTCAATTTTACTTGGATTGTATATTACTTTTCTATGATATGTCATGTGTCTTTTGGTCTTTTCGGAGAATAAACCGAGCGCTTGACTTGAAGCGAGCCACACCCAGTGGTTGTGTGTGTTTTCTTGTTGGATCAAACTGAGATTTAGAGAAGAGCTTTGGTGATCAATAGTTTGTCTGTGTAATGCTAGTACGGATTTGGTCTATGCTTTGAAAATTTAAGTCAGAAAAAGTGTGTTGTGCTCTATGAAAGTGTATATACATCACTTGAGTGTATTATATATCATTTGAGCAAGTATAATTTTTGGATATTCAGCTACAGCCCCAACATACCGTGCACTATATTGTAGTTTGTTCTTGCACCCAAACTTTTAACCTGTGTTTTTGCTGTTCTAAAGATAATAAGTTCCATGGCTATCAAACTGGAAGTATTACGTTTAGTATGTGACGTCCTATCTAGATTTAGACCTCTATGCCTCTGCCAAATTTTGTGTTTTTAACACTAATTTGAACAACTGTGCACGTTTTCGGCACCATTTTCCTGTACTATAAAAATTGGGTGACGAAATACCAAACAGTAGATATCAATACGGTGTTTTTGTTACTGTATCACCGTTCCTTGCATGAGTCTCATTTTTGTTAAATTAATAATAAAGCAAAACAGGTCATGTGACACTTTATATCTGTTAATATGTTAATTACTAAAGTAACATTTCTTTGTAAGGAACACAACAATTACGCATGATTTGGACTTTGAGGTTTCCGGTGACGTCACGTGTCACATGATCACGTCAGTTAATACCCTAAGCAATTTTGAGAAAATTTTCATTAAGTTGGATAATAAATCAAAATACATGGTTGTGCAAGAAAAAAAACAGTCTTATCATGCCGTAAAATACTTGAGGAAGAGAATGTTATCCACCTAAATAATAGAGGGAAGGTCGATGTAGATGATAGTTTCCGTGATCAGCATATATAACATATATGTCCGTAACCCATTCCCATTTCCATTTCCGTAGGAAAGCTGGCAAACATCAAAGTTGAAAACAACGGTTCTATAGTTTATGTTGGAAGCTCCCTTACCGTGCACAATCCTTTGTTTTTTGTTCACAAATTGTGACTGAATAAATTTAATATAATGCGATGTTTCTATCGGTCAGTAAGTTCAAAATGATAGGAATGTTATTGAACCTTGTTTAGGGTCAGGTCCACCAACGCTACCAAAAACATATAACAAAAGAGTCTAACGGGTTTGATAACTATCCTATTTTAATAACTATGGTAAACCTGAAGAAGGTTGGTGTGGCCAGCCGAAATATTGTTATAAAAAAGCAGGATCGTCGTCCACAGATTTGCAGTTATTTTCTTTACCATCAGCGTACATAATTCTTCACATCGTGCGAAAGCCGAATACAATAAAAGTGCTGAGAAATAGTTTGTGGGTATAAGTCGCGATCTCATAACTGGCGACCGCTTCGGTTTGCTATCTAATTTAGCTCCACACGCGCGCGAAGCGAACGAAGCCCAGTAGCTAAGAATAGTTGAAAGTTGGTTATTTACTTTGGTAGTCAAGTGAGAGTACATCCGCCTGTCCGTCCGCACCACAGGGGAACTGATCCGGGGTCAGGAGTCGAACCATCGAAGTTAGGTGTTTTTTTTTTTCTTCTGACTTTCTCCTCTGACAAGTTACTAGGTTTTAACTGATCGCGATTCAACTCCAAGTGGGTCTCCTTGCAATTGGTTACAAGTTTATTGTATGAAGAAAATTATTTATTTATCAATGGGAGCTCTCCCCTCTAGCCTAAGCTTAATCTATATTACCTATGTTTGTTTTTTACACTCTAACCTCAGATTGAGCAATTTGTAAACAAAAAAATGAGTCTAAACATCGATCTGTATTAGATAACTCATTCAGTCATCCTTTCAGTCATTCATTCATTTAAAAGTGATCTTTCATTCAGGTAGACTGTGACAATGATTTATGTAAGAAAAGAATACTTGAGGGCGTCTTCCATGGCGAAATAAATATGCCCCGACAGATAACTCTGACCAAGTTTTAGGCATCGGGGTATAAATCCGCAACAACATTTTTATAAATCGGCAACAAACATCAACTAAAGACTGTGAGAGAAAATTAGTCGGAAGTGATTTCTCTTACCATTTTTGAGAATCTTGAACCCTGTGAAACTAACGGTTTGAGATAACTCGATCTCCCCATTGGCGTTTAGATATGTAGTGTTTAGATGATTGTGTAACAAACTATATTTTGCTAGAAATAATGACCTTAAGTGTCGACCTGAAATCTTTCAATCTCAATGAGTAAATAACAGGGTTAAGAAGAGAGTTTGAGTAATGCAAAAGTTTGCAGAAGTAAATAACGTTGGTTGAAGGTTGAGCTGAGCAAGGGAAAGCCTTGCATTCTAAAAACACAATCAAGTTAATGATGTGAAAGGGGAGCCAAGTTAAAATAAAAACAGTTGTCACTATAAATACTGTCACGGCGAGTTTTCTGTCATTTTCCGCAGCTCGTCTGCTTCGTTCCTTGCCATACTGGCTTGTAAAAGAAGTTCGCTGTTTGTCCGAGCTGGAGTCTGAATATTCTAAGCTTGCTTCTCTAGCAGAAACGATAGGTCCGCTTGCCTTTATCCAGATAGCTAAGTAAGCTAAAAGCATTACCAGCATAGATGAGAAAAAGGTTAGGATCAAAAACCAAAAGAAGATTTTATGTTGAATCAAACGGTATACATGGAAAAAGTACAAGCTTGATAGTAAACCAGCGAGGATCCACACTGTAGAAATAGATAGATCGTAAAGTCTTCGAGTCGAAGTTCGATGACGAAGAGGTAGACAAATGGCGTAAACTCTCTCCAGGGCAATTATTGTAAGAGTAAAAGTAGAGGCCAAGCCGCATAATACATCCACGGTTTTTACTATATTTAAAATTATCGATGGGGCGAAAAGGCGCTCCTGCCAAAAACGAACCAATTGGTAAATAAAACTTGGAACGGAAAAAATTCCAACTGTCATATCAGCAACAGCCAAAGAGATGAGGAAATAGCTGGTACGTTTGCGCAGTAGTTTCTTTCTTGTAAGTACCGCAATGGCCACAGCGTTGCCGATAATTATTGCTAATGCTATCAAGCCAAAAACTATGCACCAGGCTACCAAAGATGTAAGTGGTGAGCGGGCTCCTTGCGAGGTTTCGTTCATTTCTGCTTCCAATATATATCTGAAACAAGAAATTTAAAAGAAATATCTATTTAGTCTGTGTAAAATAACACCCGGTTTTGTGATATATTTTTCTTGGAATGACAAGGCTGAAAAAAAGGAACTGTTTTGTAATAAGCTAAAGTTTAGCAGCCAGGGAGCGTTCGGTTAATTGTATACCAAACGCAAATAAAAATATACCTTTTTCTTTTTTCGGTAACGTTTTGATGAAAAATAACAAGGTTTCTTTCCAGGAAATTCACCTTGATTTTCTTTGCCTATCCTAAGTACTGCGCACAAGCAGGAAATGAACTCCTGGGAGTCGCGGCTGATAACGCGGCTTGACTTGTAAGGCATTGCTTGTTGACGATAAAAAGAAACAAAAGCAAAAAACAAAGAAATTTAAACGTGTAAAAAGAGTTGAAATTGATTTGTTCGATTTGATATATGGCTTATAGTCCATGAGATGCTAGATTTTATCTTGCTTTGATTCTCAAATGGGTGGAGCTCGCCCGCTCAAGACTTTTTTGGGTCACCTAAAATTAATAATTTCTTTCGAGGATTAAGGAAACCTATGTTCTGATAATTGCGGAAAAAAAAACCAAAGTAAGAATATTTGATAGGAAAAGAAAGTGCATTTTACGTCTGATGCAATCTTCACTAATTGCGAATAAGAAAGTTCGCTGTTTAGTCCGAGTACAATAAAGTCAAGACAGAAAATCTTCAAAATGAAACAAAAAACATAGCAAAACCAATAAAAGAAAACGAAAAAAATCTGAAAAAGCGCTGTCGTGTTTAAAAAGCGAAAGTAAACGGTAAAGCACTGGGGGGTGTTCTGACTTGCTCAAATGTCAATTATTGTTTTATTGTGCTGTTGCTCCACACCTGTTCGTTACGTGTCCTCCTGTGTTCGTGTTCTTTCGATTTCATTACACAGATTAGATCAGTCATTTTGAAAAAAAAACTGAGCAGCACGCTTGTTACTATAGTTGCTTGTTTTGCTTTCAGTTGTCAAAACACGAATACAAGCGGAAAAACGGGGCTTTTGTGGGGGTGGTCCAAACTGTCAGACGAATAGGGTCTTTCCTCTTGCTTTCGCGTTTGATTCTGATATATTGCTATCATTGTTCTTATTCTTTGCAACTGATTCCATGTAGATGGCCGGGAGTTTTTTGGAGCAAATGTGATGTAGAAAGTGTACTTTAAGGAAATTTAACCGACTCGTGCACTCAAATTTGACAACTTTGTCTGAAAGTTACATGTAGGTGCCATTGTGTTTGCATTCACATAATATTCTTCATGTCATGAGACTAGGAGAAGAAAAAGTTAGTTGATTTTCCGAAGGGACTGAGTTGAACCCATGACTTCCTTTGGTAATGAGCACCGATCGAAAACTCAAATAATGATGGCGCAAGCAAGCTAAGGTCATTTACTATAGGTTGATATGAAAAAACTGTCCAGAACAAAAACTGCTAGGATTAGCAATGTGGAAAGATAGAAATATTTGAAAGATGGAATAATTTCAGCCCTGAAATTTGGGCATGGTTATATTTGAGAGATATAAAATTCACTTCATCACTAGAAGACGGTGGGTTTTAAAAACAGACACTTCCGCTTCAGAAAACTGGTGGGCTTAAAACAATTTAAAAGGTTTCTTTAAGATTTGCGCTTTTTTGTTACTAAGTAAAATCTTAAATCAATACAAGACGCATTTCGTTGAGGCAACCGAATTTCGTAATTTACGCGAAGGTCAGAGTGTTGAGTAAATCGACTGTACATAAGTCATATAATTTATTGCAATGCGAAATGAGTTAAACAGTCTGCGAGAACTTATCTCAGACTGTCACCATTAAGTTGTTTCATGATTTATCTCAGTTGAGGTGGTTGGCCAATAGGAATTGAGAAAACCATATAACACGTAATTAATCCTCAAAAGGGCAGCAAGCTTGCCAGGCAACTAAAATTTAATTTCAAATTCATTTCTTAGATAAGATTGGAATGGCGAGAAATTTGATATATTCAAAATGCTTAATTGGTCTAAGCCCAGTCTGTGTTGACTTTTATGATTGCAAATTGAAATCAGGCTTGTATAGGTTCTTTGACGACTTCAAACTCCATTAGTGGGAAAGAAATATGAGAGCATTTAAAAGGCGCTTGTCCACCATAAGACGTCATGCCATGACATCGTTAATAGCAAAACAGCTTCCTTTTAAAAAATCACTTAGTTAATAATTTTACCTCCTTCTGGTTACTAAACGTTTTTCAGAGTGCATAATGTAATATATACGCATATTTATTAAGATTGTAATTCAGACATGGAGCATTCTGCTGAAATTTGATCTAACCACCTCGATTATCTCTGTCACATTTTCGATCTTGGAAACTATGTCTGGCTTTCTTTAATAGTAAGCTTGGTAAACTAAATATTTGAATATAAGTGGCTGCACTTTAAAAAGGTTTTTTGAGTCACGTATGTTTTTTTTTTAATATTCTCAGTTGGCTAGTTTTACTTTCAAACTCTGCTTATATTCAATCCTGGCATGGCTAATTATTGTAATTCACGAAAAATTAAGATACCTCCTATTATTTCTTGGCGTTTAAGTTACTCAAATTGCAAAAAAAATGAGTGTCGAGTAATACGTAAAATAACTGGTCTGCTCTATTATAATTAAGGGCTGCTTTAAATTGTTTTCCCGAATAATATTAATGAATAACCTGTATTTCAACGCTTTTTAAAACGGGAGCATATTAATATTAATTTTTACATACATCCTCTAAGCTACCAAATCAAATTCATGTAAATTAAAACCTGTTTCAGTATCGAATTGTTAACGAATAAACCGTGACTGACCAAATGGTATTTCATCATGACATTGATCTAACAAACGAAGCAAGTTAAATCGGTGGGATCGATTGTTGTTGCTTTCGTTTTTAAGAGATTATCTACTAGAACCTTGAATACTTAAGTGTCACGCAAAAACACGCTTTGTGATAAAATGCCATATCTTTTAAAGACCCAGAATAGTCTAGTCCTCGAAGTCGAAAATTAATAGCATCTTAAATGCGGTTTCATACTGTGATTGCCATCTTAGTTCATTCCATACACTAGTTTATTAGAATGCGTTCTTTGATGATCTGTTTCAGAAATAAGCGTTTACATATATAATTTCCACAGTAACCTGTAATTGAACCTTTCAATGAGCAGGGTTAGATACTTTGAAAGCTTTAATTTTTTTTTTTTTTAAGTAGTTAATCCTTAAATATGGTGGGGTTTTAGGAAATGTTGAAACCAATTGGATGACATACTGTAAAAACCCACAACTTTTTGAAATGGTTAAAAGAAACCATGGGTGTTAGTTGCGATCTCATACCTTACGACTCCTTTCGTTTGCGATATTCAGGAATCTTCTTTCTGAAATACCTTATTTGTTGTTTTCCACTCGTATCTAGATTCAGATTTAGCAGTTTTTAAGGATCCACAGCGACGAATTAAAACAACATACTACGAAGCACTTGAAATGAAATCAAACCCTACTTCGCTAAATGAAAGCTACATATGCAAATTAAGAGTGGTTTAATATCATTAGTTCATGGCGCATGTTGACATAGTTATCTATAAAAACGAACGACTTACTGCTGTCGAATTTCTCACGTCAAGGCGATAGCTTTGTTTTTGTTTTTACGAACGTGTATTAGCAACCTATCTTGTAATCTTATAGATAATACTTAAAGAAAAAAAGGACCTGATGTCCGTTTTAAAGGGGTCCTGACTTTAAATATAAATAAATTGTATCTGTGGCAAGGCACGCCAGATTCAAATGGCAAAAAATAATCTCCTTGAGATCTCCTAGCACTGTGACAAGCAATAATGATCAAAATAAAACAAAGGTAACAGATTTTCGGTTTCTTGGTACAAAAGATTGATTTTAACACAGCTATAGACGTGGATTAAAATATCATCTCTGGAGAGAATGTATGTCTTATTGATATATGGTAGGACGAAATAATCAATGGCAAGAAATGAAGATGAATAGATGGAGCCAAGTGAGTTGATATATTTTTTTAATACTATATGTCGACCCAAATGAACAACTAACTGTTTTTGTCTTGTTGTCAATTTTCTTTTGCCTTGACTTGTCAGGTTCATAGCCAAATTTTATCATCGTTAGAAATTAAAGAAATAAAGCCTGCATTTCAATATAACTATTTTGTGAAAAATTCTGACACCAGATAATCTTTTCGTAAGTTTTAATGGTTTTTTTTCTTTTTTTTTTTTTTCTTGACACTATGTGAACTTAAATCTTTTCGGAAACAATTGTCTAAAAGTTTATCTAAGAACTGACAGACGGGCTACCAGAGCGAAAATAAAAAAACAAAAACTGGTACCTATAAAAGGTAGACAGTAAATATGTATCTTTAGGCGTCTCTGAAGATTAAGAGTTTTCGTTAATTGAATAAGTACAATTGGCAATCTTAAATCCTCTTATTTCCTAGATTGCTACAAATAGGCTCTACGTCAGCCTAAGGTCATTAGTATTTGAATCTAAGATTGTTATTTCTTTTAACGTTAACTGAGGTCATTAATTTTAGTTAATTTGATATTAAGCTAAAAATGATGGCGTTTATAAGGCGTTTAAAAAATTATGCAAACCACTGATTATTCTAACCACATGGAATATATAGCTATATCTGTTTCAAGACAACAGAGTTTGGACGCCATATATATTTATCTAATCTTTATCATAAGATACGCGCATAGTTCAGAACAGGTGCATTTACAGCCTGGCCTGTGGAATATTAAATCCTTTTCGTATGTAGCTTAATAGGCCACTTCCGAGTTCCAAAAACCCTCACTTACAAATTGACGCCAAGTGCACAACCTTTCAGGTGGAAATGAGTTTTATTTGCGTGGGAATGAAAACCCATTTCCATATCAAAGACTGAGCACTTAACCTCGTTTTGATACAGAGGCCCGGGGGAACTCGGAAAAGGCCTAATTGTTT